GAGAGGTCGTGCCTCCGGGCTAGAACCCTACACGAAGGACATGCCAATAGAGTGATCTTATCTAACTATTGGAATGTCAACATGCACAACCTGATTGCCCCCTTCCCATTTCAAAGGGAAGGTGGGCGGAAGGGTAGGCGCAAAACGATCACCCCGTCTCATGTCATTGACAGGTTGGGGCGGCGATCATCGGAGGATTTTGCACCATTACATCTGATCGCCGAACCAGGCAGGCGAATCAGGGACAAATTCCCTGATCGCATCACTGAACACTTCCTAAAGCCGGGATCACACCCAGCTAAAGGATCGGCTGAATTTGAGGAATGGTTCCAGACTACCTGGGTGCCTATCTTCCGACAAGTGGTTCGAGATGAGAACTCTTGTTATCTCTTCACCGACGGGTCCCTCCTTCCGGATGGATCAAGATCAGGGTGTGCCTGGCTCACTATGTCAGGACACAACTACCTTAACAGTGGGAAGTTTGGTGCAGGGCGCTGCACAATCTTTGATGCTGAAATGATGGCATTGGCTAGAGGCATTCACAGTGCCCTCCACGATGCACCTCAAAACTGCACTCATTTGGTGCTATGTGTTGATAATGCGGGAGCGTTATCCAAGATCCTCAACTGTGAGATGGGCCCCAGTCAACTGGTGTCTATACTTGCGGCGGAAAAGGTGATGAAGTTTCTCCAACGGAGTGAACAACATCATATCTCCTTGCTTTGGGTGCCATCTCACAAGGATGTTCCACCCAACGAGTTTGTTGATGAACTAGCCAAATCGGCTCTCGAATATGAGCAGCCAGAATTTGTCTCCCAAGCACGAGCAATGGCGGACTGTCTGACCAGAGCGAAGATCAAGTGGGCAAAATATTATTCATCCTACAAATATAGAGGGAGGAACATGTGGATCCTCAAGAACCACAATCCCCTCTCACATTTGTCTACTAGGGCATACCCAATGCGATACCTGGGTAAGAACAACCAAGGCATGGCACGAGCTGCTAGGGTGTTGAGTAATCATTTCCCTTGCGGTTCATACAGGGAGGAGTATCATATCCCTGGACCCCATAATTGCCCGTGTTCAGGGACCCTGGACGATAGGGACCACACCTTGTTTGACTGTCCCATGTGGATCAGGCCAAAACAGGGCATCGTGCAGAATTATGCACCCGACAACCTGCGCCAGGCGCAGGTGCGTCGTCAACGAGGATGGACAGAGGATGACGTTCTCATCTTCCTGCGCCTCAACCCTATGGTGGCAACGTTTGAGTGGGCGGAAATCCTCGCTCAGGCTGCCACCGACCGGGAGGAGGGCGATCATTATTCGATCGCCAATGCCCTCTTATACAGTCACACCGTAATGCGGAAATCTGTGTTTGCGGCCTTTTGTGCGAGGATTAACATGGACCCCGCAGACGTTCACCCCGATTCCAAGGATTACGTCTTCTTTGTTAAGGAGTTCAATGCTGATGTTACAGCATCTCGATTGATCGAGGCATGGAGGACCCAAGCCCCGGCATATCCCCCACCCGCGTTCATCGCGGACACACAGATGGCCGACTATCTCGTTCTCGAGCAAGCAAGCCCTACAGACGTGAGACCATCACAAACAGTATCACCCCTCAGTTTGTTCGAGAGTGAGGGGAACGATTCGGGGTGATTACCGCCCCGCTTTGACAGTTTCTTTACACTCTGCATGTACCCTATGGTATGGAGTATAAACCCTGGAATAAAAAAAATAATAATAATAAATAAAATAAAATAAAAAAAGAACCTCTAGCTGGATATTGGAGAATATTTAAATCCTATAGAGGCTGGATGAATACGTGCGATAACTTGCAGGACATATGACACCGTGGGCAAAACGCGGTGTCCGGCCTTCGAGCATGTACAGGACATGCGCCAAAAGAGATCGCATTTTCACTCGATTTTCTGAGCTCGAACATTAGATATCACGTTCGGGCAGTGGGTACCGAATATGGCAGATCGCTAGCCTCTGATTGGTCCATTTGCCATGTTTTTGCATGTAAAGTCCCGCCGAGTGATCGCTCTTCGAACATTGCAGGAAAATGCGATCTCTCGCGGCCAGTCTCCGACGCATGTTCGACCGCCGAACTTCGTCAATTTCCCACGGTATAATTTGTCTACAATATCCACAGACTCGATAGAGGACGATAGTACTTACTAGCGATCAGCCACAGCAGCGTCGCAGGTGAATCGGCTGTTCCCGAGTCGCACGAGTGCCGACCGAGACTCCAAGTCCCTTTCTTTCTTACCATCTCGTCGCCCACCCTCGAACATTCACTGTTAGAATAATGTCTCGGAAGAAATTGAAGGTAAAGCCAGATTTTGTTGCCGACGCTGGTGCGATGGGTAAAGAAGCCGGGCCACCCAAGACTGCGCGTCGACCCGTTCGCGGAAAGCGAGGCAGTCTACAAGACATGCCCAACATGCCCCTCGATATACTATTAGAAGTTAGTGTCTGAAATCTACCTGTCATCTTACCCGTTTTTATCTATTTATACATATATATATTATTGCAGATCTTCAACCATCTGCGACCGCGAGATCTACTCCATCTCGCCAGGACCAACAAGGCCTTCCGTGGAATGCTCATGAGTCGCACGTCGGCTTTTCTTTGGAAAGCGTCTCGCGACAATTTCGAGGGTCTCCCTGATTGCCCTTCATACTTAAGCGAGCCGGCTTACGCTAACCTTGCCTTCTCCCCCTACTGCCATGTGGGTCCTAAAAGAGTTCTTTCGTCGTGTCACTCGTGTCTTAGATTTTTTGCTTTGCATCAGAATTGCCTCAAACCTAATATTCAGACGGTGCTATGGGAGTTTTCAGTTCGGTACTGCAATGCCTGTAAGCAATCGCTGTGAGTGATCATTTGAATCCTGCTACCCGATCACTGACGTTCGTTTAGAACCATGACCGACCGCTCTGGTGATTTATATACGAAGATGGGGGATACCATGGTGTTCTCCTTGTTGAATCATGTATGCTCTAGTTGCAGAACGTGAACCTTTAGTAAGGTCACTGATGAACTGCCTAGGTTGACCTGTGGGATCGGCGATGCACCAGGCTCTTCCACAAACCTCAGGTTCTCGAGCTCGTGAAAAACTGGGACGCTGTCAAAAGCAACGAGGCCGCCGGTCAGAGCTTTGTGGAAGAGCAAAAAGCAAGGGTGAAAGAGGTAGCTGAAGTTCGTTAATCATATCCATTCGTCGCCCACTCGCTGATACACCCCACCAGCATGCATCGTCATGCTATGTGTGGGGACAGAAGAAAGCTCACTCACGACAACAGGAGTTGGAGGAAATGAAAACGGAGCGCTTGCGAGAGTAAGTCGTGTGGTATGGATGTATATCGAATTGATATCGACGTCATATCAGTGTCATTACGAGATTGCGCGAGTCGGGATGGGGAGAGGAACTCGACATAATAGCCCCGCGACAGTATCACGCATTGAGCTCGAATGCGCACGTTCGGCAGGCCAAGAAGTTGACTACTCGCAGTAAGAATTTTGTGTTTCGTGAGACTTTTAATTCACCCATTGTTCGACAGTATGGCAAAATATCCGACAGGATATGGTTGACCTTATGCAGGATATCAAAAATCAACGTCTGGCTGAAGAATATAAGACCTTACTCAAGCGGCGACTCGATACTGTTTTTGCTTTGATTTCTAGTCATTATGTCAACCCTCGCAGGACGAGACAAACCGAGTTACGGCCACCTGCGGTCGATCTCGCTCACATGCCAGAGACTAGGGCCATCGTAACTGGTTCCGACGATGTAGAGCTTGGTCAAGCAAGTCAGGATGCACTGCGCGACCTATTGCCCACCATGATTGAGCGCTGGCAGGCACAAGTAAAAGCTGAATTGACAGGACTCTTGCAAGAACACATCACTAGCCCCCCTGACATCGATCCGCTCGATCTAGCCATTGCGTATTTTTATTGCACTCGATGCAGGAAATTGTTTCGCTATCCTAATGTGATTGCCCACAGTTGCCTCCATTCTCGTGTATACCTCATGAATCCAGGGGATACTCCGTATGACCAGGCGCTCTCCAGTGTGGCAGGCTGTCAGAAGTGGTCCACTCGTCACCTCTCTGTCCCGACATCAATAGACGACATCCGGGAGATCGTGCGCACCTTTGGAGGGGATCCCAGTCGCTCCACGAGACAAGAGATGGATGATCGAGATGTGTACCTCGCTGCCAAGATTATCTATAGTGCCAAGGCACAGATTATGACCTGGGATGAAGCGGTAGATTTCCATGGCTCGTTTTATGAATCGTGATATGCTTACATTCATCTAGATACTTTGCAAGAGTAGGATCTGTGGTCTCTCATGGGAGCAGCCCAGCGAGGATGAGATTCAGCGGCATAAAGCAAATCAGTCCACAGCCGACGAGGGAGCTGACATGTGGTGCTGTTCGTTGTGCGCGAAAGACGCTGGTCGGCTACATGCCATGTACCGAATCAAGGATCATTTACGTTCCTCGTGAGTTAAATGGGCTTATCGTCAAGCTCCTTGCCTTATGATCGCATAGCCATTCCGTGGAAAATCCGAACGTCGAGAATGGCGACATGTACCTTCATCCCGATGCGGACGGTTATCTCCCTTCAAATCGGATGGATTTCATGGAAGATTATATTCATGAATACCTCCATGATTCCGATGATGGGTTGTCGGACTGGGAGTTGGGGATCGATCTTGGGTTTGGATTTGGGTGGCTCGGTTACGATTCCGACGACTTTTGACGTCAGCCCAGAAAAGCTGCGTTTCGACAGGCTTGCGAAGTAGGAACAGTCGGGTATTCGCGGTGTGTTTTGGTCCTTACTCAGTCTATAATTCGTTGCCCAGGGTGATTACTAAAGCTATAATGGTTATGGTAATCGATAGCTATTACTTCAACAACTGTACTTCCTTCGAACATAAGCCAGCCATTGGACAGTTCTGGTTCCGGATTCGTGTTCAGTAGTAATTGTGCATAACTCTTCAGACAACACTTGAACCCTTCACTGATGGATGTCAGAAGTATGATTCATATACGTCCTACATCGATCGTAGATCAGCCACTAGGCATCGCAAAGTCGCCCTGTCGACTTGTGCCCTAGGTTTAGAGAATACCCTGAGGTCAGACAAATAAACTGACTGCATAATCTCAGTCTATCACTGCGGTGGTCCCTCGTGGAAAGGGTATAAAGTAGAAGTGCCGTGATCGTCTCGATGGAAGGATCGGACCTATCTGAATGCAAGACGTATACATTTTTTCATGCACGTGGTTGAGGTCTTGCAAAATGGATCTCTACACTGTCTGCACAGTTATCAATTACAGCAACAGAGCTAGAATACACAAACCTTATGGTTTTCCAGTGACATTCATCTGACAACCCGCTTCCACAATAAAGAAATTACCATTTGCTTGCAAGAGAAAGGCATTCGAAAGACATGTGAAAGCCGTCAACTCCAAATAAGCCTTTCCTCTCTGGAAAAAGGGATTTTCCCCCACTGGGGACACGGTCATTTCTTTGTTTTTTCCAGCGCTGTAAAAGCAACTGGAATCAGTAAATAAGTGTGGGCACGCGCGAAGAAATGAATCACACCGGGTATAATGCCTGGCCTTGCTGTAGTAGAGAACCATCGCATAATCTGGATTGAAGTGCACAATATGCTACTCACGATGAGAGAACGAACGTAGTATACGTACCGCGTAGAAGGCTTTAAAAGCCACGAGATCTGCACTTGTCGTGATGGCTGATTGTTCCACGAGACCATCTACTTATGGGCATTGTCGTATTCTGATGAGTGTGTTGATGATGATCCAAATACTCACCCGTGCCCGGCTTCGAGATACGAAGTAGGAAGTAGTGGAGTTGTAAACTTTCAACTTCGTAAATCTCTGTACCAACTGTCATTTCCCGAAGGCTTTGAAGATTTTTTTGAACGTCTTAGTGACTGCCTATCCCGCGGCCCACAATCTCGACCACCAGCTTGCAGCGGAATCGGAATATCGGCAGCGATTCCAGTTTAAGGATGCATACTCCCACTTCTTACTAACAGTCGGAATTAATGACAGTCGGGCTAGATCTCGTATATCAGGTATGATACTCGCAATAACACTTGCACTTCAGGCTAGCAGCGGTCGCGGAGGAATGCCCCGCAGAGAAGCTGTAAGTAACATCTAGCATGTTCTGGGAAGCAGCGTGACAGATAAGACGGACTGCAATCTCACACGAGGCTGGGCTAGTTTATAGAAGCCGGCGATGTGGTAACTCGAGGGAGTCGCCGGTGTATCAATGAGGGAGTCTTGAGGGACATGTGAGCATATGCAATCAGGGCGTAGTGCATCAAGGCATCGGCTCTGCAGCTGATAAGGGTACGTGTTGTAATACATCTAAATGGAATGGCGTCTTTCTGAAAGTTGAGATGACAACATACCACCGATGTAGTCGGAAAGATGGTGACATTGCCGGACAACCATGAGAATCTGTACTGGGCATTTGCAATGATCTTGAGGAATGCCGTAGACGGACTTGTGTAGTGAGTGTTGAGAGAAAGAGATGCTTGATGTGCGCGACCACAAATTGACGTGTTAAGATAGTCATGCGCATGCGTCCTTGAAGGAGAATCTATGGAATACAAAAGCATGGAGCAAAACGTGCTGCAGTACTTGGAATGTTCGCTACTAGACGGCGGTAAATTATACACAAACAGCTGCGGATGACCAAAGTAAACAAAATGAATGTCGTAAACACCGACAACACCAACAACAATACCTGCACACGCACCCCCAAACCAACACGCACCCCAGTATGATCGCTGCTCGGATTATCGAGCTTGCTTAGCGCGAATGACTCGGTCATACGATTCTGCGATAGGATTGCGATACGCCAGCACTGTGATATGAGCGCTGAGATACGGAGGGGGTAAGAGCGGATGCACCGCCTCAAGACCGGCGCTTTGCTCAACTGGGGAGAAATGTGACGTGAATTGGACTGGGGTACGCGGGGGTGACGGTGTAGAGCGAAGGGCATTGGATAATGCTGCAAAAGACGAGTTTGAGGAGATCGTAGACAGAGTGCGTTGTCGATCGTGGGTCGATCTGTTAAGTTGCGCCTGGCTGGCCGACGACTGTACAGGTACCGTGGCAGTAGAACGAACCGAGGAAGTCGATGTCCTCCGTAGCTGTCTGTGAGCCTGAGATGATGAAGGCGAAGATTGATTTGGAGACGCTGAGGCAGTCTTAATGCTGCTGGGCGAGCCCGCCCGCAAGCTGGAAGGTGACGATGCGGTAGACATCTGAGCCTGTGCAGCATCTGACGAAACCATGGTCAACGGTGCCAGCGGCGCGGGTGTTGCCGTGAAAGCGCCGGAGCCGTACGAATGTCCCCGAATAAGCGGATGTGGTCGCAGGAGTGGTAAGTCGAATCTGCTCGCTACGGAGTGTGTTGAGGGAGGCCTTGTCATTGACTGGCGTTTGGGAGGCGAGGAACTGCGAGACGGGGAATGTGTCTCAGACCGTGCTTTAGTGAACGGGGGCACGGACTGCTCGGACATCCGCTCTGTTTGAGGAAAACGCTGATCATTGCACTCTGACTGCTGTGGATGAATTGACGTTCGTGATAATGGATGCTGTGAATGATCGCGGGGAGCAGGGGCGGGAGACGAAGGTTGGGAGGGAATGAAAGTATCAGCGCGGGGTAAGGGCGGCATCTCTGCCTTCGGTGTCTCAACGTCTTCTTTAAGAAATCCGTTGACGTGAGGGCTCAAGGGTGGAAGCGATGGTTTGGTCGGCTCAACGGGTGTTCTGGCTTCCTCGGTATCGGAATCTGCGCTGGCAGTGTTGGGAGTGGCGGCTCCACTCTCGCTCGACACCCATTCATCTTCTTCATCTCCCTCTGACGGGCTTGATATCCTGAAGTCTACCTTCTGCCTGCCATTCGGAGGACGACCAGCAGTGAGTGGTGGTGGTGCACGTCGTAGTAGTGCTGGCTGGACATGTTCTCGTGAAGGAATGCGATGGCTGCTCCCTGTTCGCGAGATTTGGGCAGAACTGCGGGCGGTCGGCTATAAGCGTATCCCAACGACGAGAGCGGTCGTGAGCAAGCTGTACCGACCAGACTAACGCAAGAAAAGCAATCACCTCGTGATGGATATGAGCGTTCTTCTTGGATTTGTCAGGAAGTCTTGGAGGCGGCACATCCTTCTGGGTAAGTTGAAGGTTAAGACCTAATTTCGAGGACCCGCCCGAATTTGTGCGCGCGTGTGTGCGAGTCACGCCGCCTGCTGAACGATGTCCTCGGTTGGGCATGGTGGAAGAGCGGTCGAACTGCAGCAACCGTGGCGAGCTCCTTGTAACGATTGATGCTCCGCCCGAAGTCCAGATCGATTATCCTCCAGCGCTCGGAAACGTCGGCCATTCCCATACATGGAATATTATCACATGACCGTAGTCGGCGCTCACGAGTCCTCGATTCAAGTTCTGCCTGTGTCGCACCCTGGAATTGGATTCGACAAGACGCGCCAGCTTTTGGTGCAGATCTGGCTGCGACCGTCATCCTATATTAGACGTACTATTTTACTAAAGGAAGGCTGTAATGGAGAGGGTACAGTTTCAGCAGGAGCAGGTATGTCTTTTCCTTGGGACTCAGGTGGTCGTCCTTACGTTTGGTAGATGCTCGCTGAGCTCAAGGACCTCGTTGAAAAAGGCCTTTTCACTCAAGTACGTCTTGCGTGATTTTTGAAACAACATGCGGTTATTTTATTGTGTGCACGATCGCAGAAAGAAGTGAAACACATCGTGCAGAAGCGTACCGCATTCGAAACCGCTCTCGTCCGTCGTGCCCCAAAGAAAGGTGATTTCCTGCGCTACGCTGCATACGAGATGGGACTAGAAGCACTTCGCCGGAAGCGTGTTGAACGGCTCAAGCATGACAAGCGGCCGCCTTCAATCTCGGACTACGCTCTTGTTCGCAGACAATTTCACATCTTCGAACGCGCACTCAAGAAGTTCAAAAGTGATGTTGGATTATGGATACAATACATCCAGGTGGCGAAGAAGGAAGGCGCGCGCACGCTTGTTGGACGGATCACCGCGCGGTAAGTCATATTGACACTTCACGCAAATGATTACGACGTTTAGCGGCCTATCGCACTCAGTGCTCTACAACTGCATCCGAATGTGCCTGCGTTGTACATCTTAGCCGCATCGCATGAGCTAGAGCATCTATCCCCATCAGCCGCGCGCGCATTGCTGCAGCGTGGCATTCGGCTGAATACCGATAGCGTCGAGATGTGGAAGGAGTACGTGAAAATGGAGCTAGGATTCGTGGAGAGCCTGAGGAGACGCTGGGAAGTCCTGGGCATTGGCGAAGAAGCCAAACAGAAAGAGAAGACCGCTGATACAGAAATGAGCGACCATAGAAATGAAACCGTGGATAATGAAGGTGTAGAGAAGACGCAATTTGATGCCGACGAATATGACGAAAGCGAGGCGGCCAGGAAAGATATTATGGAGGGCTTCATCGTGAAGTCCGTGATTTCCAGTGCTGTAAAAGGTCTGTCTATCCTCCAAGAGCTTAACGTTTCATTTTATCTGACAAGCTTGATCGCTAACGATGCTTAGCCCAGCCCAAGATCGAACTCTTCACTTCAATACGCGACTTACTAGCAACATACCCTTGCCCACCCTCGTTGCGCGAAAATTTAGTCAGCCATCTTTTTTCTCTTCTACAGGTCACCCTCCCATCGGATCCTGCGGCTATCAAGCTGGCGGCGACCAAATCGTTGACCCTAGACCTTGAGGGTAGAGATCTCGTGGAGGCCCTCACGCACGCCAACGAGCAGCTCGCTAATGCGCTTCGTGACAATAGTGAGGCAGATGAGCGTCTTTCAGGCGTGTATGCGCGATTTGTCGAGGAATGGTGCCAGAGAGATATCGATAATGACTTGGTGCGTCCCTTAACACATTTCGCTTAACTGTGCATTCATGATTTCCTCCACGCCCATCGCATATGCGCACATACAGAAAGGGTACCTTATTACGTCCCTACAGCTGCTTACTCAGAGGAAATCTGCCTCGCCTTCGCCATCGCTCTTGGCCGCAAACATCATGCTTCTCGTTTCTTATCAAGGCGCACTCCACACACACCTGCCACCTGCGTCCGACACACCCGAGAAAGTGCTCCGACTAGCTCGAAAGTATACGAGCAAAGACAAAGCGCGCACGTCTGCGAAAGTATGGCTTGCACGGCTTGAAGCGGAGAAGCGGTTCGCAACATCAGAAGCCGTGCAGAACGCATGGAGCGAAGCTCGCGATGCGGTCGAGGGCGATGACATTGAACGCGTTTGGCTATGGGGGCTTGATCATACGCACGCCAGCGAGATTGACCAAAGCGAGTGCAATGACGAGCCCACGGCGATGCGGGTGCAACTTCTAGAGGTGCGTACGCTAGCGGCATTTAACCTTTAGAATATCATTGACGCCTGATGGTTCATATCGGTTCTACCCGGATCTATCTATTTGCATGCGGCGCGGTGATGTAGCGGCTCCTGACAGACTGCAAGCGTATCAGGGACGCAACAGCATGGGGCACGGTGCATGAGGCGTTACTGATGCGGTACGCGGCGAGTACACACGCGGAACTGCTGGCCAGACTCGGACTCGAAGCGGACGTGGCAAAAACGTCGACAAAAGCCAGCGCGACGTCTGGAACCCGGGAGAGAATGGAAGCGGACGAGGTAGCTGGGGCAGGGAAGCAGAGAGAGAATCCGAGGATGGTGCGATCACCATGGCTTGAATCTGCAACAAGACCAAGGCTGTCTCACGCGCTGACAGATGCGCGCGCTGCTCGGGTTCATCACATTGGGGTAGCTTATCTACCAACTGCTAGGGTATGGCAAGAGGTGTTTGCCCAGGAAGCAGAAGCTGCGGACAAGACGATCAGGTGGGCGGGGCAAGACGATAGCGGGAGAGTCTTGGAGAAGGTATTCGTATTGTGGAGAGGAAAGGATGGAGTGAGTGCCACGTTTGCCTGGGCCAAGTGGTTGCTCGATCATGGGAAGGGTAAAGCAAGCAAAGATGTGGTGATGGGAGCGCGAAGCTGGCTGCCTCCGGAGGATGCAAGGGAGGTGGAGCGGCGATGGAAGAAAAATATGGACGATGCCGCGGCAGAATCTGACGCGTGATAGCATTTCGTATGGCTTTTTGCAGTAAGCCGGCGGCCTGGTCTCTTGGTATTCTACTTGCTCTAACTGCTCTTATCGGAACCCAACAGAGGCAATTGTATGGGCAGAGAGCATTTGCAAAACTTGGTGACGATACTGAGTCTGGCAGCTGTGTCGAGCGACCGCGCCGCTCAATGTCTTGGCTCAGGGGCTCCCCTGAGGGAGGTGATTTTGCGGACGGGTGATACACATGCACAACCCTGCGTGCTCGGCCCCGAGCTCGGCATGTGGTGTCGTGAGGTGTGGTCGCCCGGCGAGAAAAAGGCAGATAGCATGGGGGACCCAGAGATCCGGAGGCTCATTATACTGTTACTGCGGTGAAGATCGCACGACGCCATGGCATTGTGCGAACGTGCGTCTGGAAGATGGTGGTGGGGGAAGGATGTCGCCGCGAAATATAATTAGGTTGAATGGTGCACGGAAGACGCTGGGCCTCGAGCAGCATGTGCCACGTACAGTACATAACGAAGGGGAAGGCGTGTCGACGGGTGTATCAGAGACGAAGCGCCGAGAGGTGCCGAGGATGGGGTGCACATGGGCCGGGCATGTGCATGTGCATGTGGGGACTGGGCCTGCGGATGGCGACGCAGGGAGTAACAATCCGATAGACAGCTGTTTCCACTGCCTGCTACAGGGCTGAGGGATTGGAATTGGCCGTGATGAGATTGAAACCCCCGCGAGCGAGTGCACGACGGCCGCGAGGGCGAGGGCGATGGCCGCTGCAAGGCTGTGAGGGAACTGTCACGATGATGTCACGCTGCGTGACATCTGCCAGTGGCCGCGCCATCGCCATTGTGGGCATATCCGGCGAACACACGCGCGTGGTGCTGCGAAGCACGAAACCATGTGCTGCTACAATCTCAATATCTCCCTCCTCCTTCGCGTCCTTCCCCTCTCCTCTTCCCCCTCCCCGCCCCCCCACTCGTCCACGTCGCACGCGGTCGCCGCTCAGGTATTTGGTTTGGTCAGTCTCCTCTTTCCTCCAATCCCCAGTCTCCTCACTCACAGCCTCCATCCCCGCGTCCCTTTTCAATCCCCGCTCTTCCTCAGCTTTACCTTTTGCTGCCACCTGCCTGCTATCGGTCTCCCCAGGTCTCTTCGACGTTGCAGGCCGTCGTCCCGCCCGCCTGCAGCCCACCGGACTCTCCCGTCGCCCGTATTTAGAGAAGACGCACTGCTCCCCACCTGCATGTTCCTCGCACGAGCATCATAGTGTCCAAGTCGGTCTCCCCATCTCGCCCATTCTCTTCTTCTTGAGAACGGAGTGTAGAACAGACCATCCTGGCTGCTCATTCTCCTTTGCTCATGTTGCAGTACCCAGTTCAGCTTCCGCCGTTGTCTGTCACCTCGTCAAAGCGCACGCCCTTGGTCCGCAGGGAAACCAGTGATGACTTCCAGAATGGGTCTCTGAGCCATAAGCGTGCTGTGTACGTTAACGACAAATCCGCATCCCCCACTTCCCTTCATGTCGTCCCGCTTCCCATCTCCACCACCTTTTCCTCTACTTCGTCTCCCTCTTCGACTGCTCCGTCCACTCCGTTCCTAGTATCCAAGCAAATCCCTCGTTCTCCTCGTTCTCCTCTGGCTTCTTCGCCTAGGGAGTTACCCAGTCCGATCCCTCGCTCTCCTCACCCGTTCAAGTCCAGCCTGTCTCCCAGCCTGCCTTGTGTCGACGACAAGTCGAGCAAGTCATCATCCATTGCGTCCGTCGCTATGGATGTTCTTGCACAAGGGGATCTTGTTGGTGAGGGTCTTACCCTGCAAGGCGAGATGATTATTCGGGTTCCCATTAGCTCATCGGAGCCGCGGGTCGACGATGATGAACCGGCGAAAGAGTTCGAGGTTGTTCGTAGGCTCGGCACTGGAAGTTACGCGGTTGTGTACCTTGTGCGTGAGGTACTGTCTCGCACGGCCTCTCCTTCATCGGATGATGGTCATGGTGCCGCAGTCGCTGGGCGTATGGAACTCGATGATAGTTACTTCGGCCACAGATCCCCGGTATATGGTCGCGAATATGCTGTCAAGCTGTTATCTAAAGCTAACCTTGATGAGGATGCTCTATCGGCCCAGTTGTTCGAGGTACGGTAGTCTCTACTCGATATATGCGTGTTTTAATGTCTGACCTACCCTTGATGTAGGCTACAATCCACCAGTCGCTTCCCGCTCACCCCAACATCGTTACTCTCCACCGCACGCTCGAGACTCCCTCGTTTTTACTTCTTCTCCTCGAGTTTGTTCCCGGTGAAGATTTGTTTTACTTCTTGGAACAGGATAGAGATCACTACGATGTCGATCCTGCACTGTCAGAAGAATTTTCCACGACTCCGCCCTCAGAGTCGAGCTGCAGCTCGAGAACACCATCGACGCCGAGCCTTCTTGCGTCACTAGCACCTTCCCAGCTGCTCTCTCGCACTCGCCTTCGTCTTATCTCTTCGATGTTCTTGCAGATGTGCGAGGCGGTTGCCACGTGCCACGACCATTCCATTTTCCACCGTGACATCAAGCCAGAAAATTTCATTGTGACAGATGGATGGTCCACTTTGTCAGATGGACGACGCGAGCGGAAGGTGGTTGTCAAACTCACCGATTTTGGATTATCTACCACCGATACGGATTCAGCCGACATGGATTGCGGCAGCGCTCCTTACATGAGTTTCGGTGCGTTCAAATTAATTGCGCTGCGGATTGGCTAGGGCTGACGTATGGTTGGAAGAATGCCGAAATAATCTACACCCTACTTATTCTCCTCGTGCTGCCGATGTCTGGTCACTTGGTATCGTGCTTATCAATATGTAGGGCGCGCATATAACCATGCTTCTACCTGTTCTGATTAATCTATTTACAGGTTGTATCATTATAACCCTTGGACCGATGCATCACAAGGCGTTTGCACGTCCTTCGATGCGTATTGTCACCAACCCGTCAACTTCTTCATGACACGCTTTACTGGAATGACACTTCCCGTTGCTGAGTTCCTGGCGAAGAACGTCTTCTGTATCCTCGATAATCATAAGGACGACTCACAGCGTATTGGCGCCCGCGCCTTCGGTGCATGGATCAAGGACCTCCCTACACTCCTTGGGGGTCCGTCAGTCGCTCGCCATACACGCACTGTCTCCATTTCTTCCGTTCAAGGCCATCATCTTGCCTCTATTCCTCATTCTCGCCGTCCATCTCTTCGGTGTGTCACCCCTAACGACATTGCCGTCTCTCAGCGCGCGTCACGGTCCATGTCCCGCGCACCCTCTCTCGGCCCTGCCTACGAGGTTGAGGCGGAAGTTTCCATGTTATCCACCGTCACTGACTATGAGAACGAGGAACAGGAACAGGATGGAGAGATTGATCAGGAGCCTGGGTCTCGTTCTGCTTCCACCCACAGGCGTCGCAAACGTGGTACGAGAAAAGGCAAGGGCAACCATCCTTCTTCCCCCCCCTCTTCGGTTCAGGATGGTACCTTGGCGACATTGGCTGAAGCCTCGCAGGCGCTGGCACGGGAGATCAGCCGCACTTCCCGCAATTCGCAACACTTTTCGACTGGTTTGCAGACTCCGATCGACAAACCATCTCCTGTCATTCCATATGTTCCTGTCCCCACGCTTTCCCCCACGCCGGCTTATGCATCCGCAGCTGCCTCTACTTCTACTGCTTCCGTTGTCGCTCCGCCAACTATCACCAAGAAGTCGTCAAAATGGAAACTCAGTTTCGGAAAGGGCAGCAACGGCAGCAAGGTGTCTCCTGTTGAAGAGTCGCCGTCAGAATTGGGCTCTGGTAACAGTTATGTCAAACCTATGTCGTCCACGGCAAGCAATGTCACAAGCTTGCTGATGAGCCTGAACGCGCCGCCCGCGGCTTCTACGTCGCAAGCTGAACTTGATACTATGGGCTCATGGACTAACCGCGGTCGGCGTCCCCAGCCTTCACTCTACGGCGCAAGCAACAACGGTAGCAGTACGTGGGGGCCAAATGGTTCGACGTCTGCGTTCTCGACGAACAGCAACCTCAGCGAGCGTCGGGGCCCGCATGGCTCGCAGCGTGCTGTTTCGCCAGTAAGCAAGCGTGGTGTGTCTCCTTCCAGCAAGCGCGGCATATCTCCCACGAGCACTCGTAGCGGGCGTCCCCTTGCATCTAGCGCAAGCTCCATCGCCTCATCGAACTGGCGGAGCTCGATGTCGAGTGCGGGCACATCTACTTCGGCCTTCACGAGGTACAGCAACGGGAGTTCGCGGAGCGTGTCTACGGCCGCAACAAGTCTTTCTTCGGGCAGTTGGCGCAGTAATGGGACGAACACGTCAACTATGTCGAAGAAGTATCCTGTCGAGCACAGACCCGCTGGGATGCCAGCCAACGTCAAGTGTCAGTGTCTATATTTATTCTTTGGTCGTCAGTGCATGTTGTAGGCTGACCAAACCCCTTGATCCGACAGTCATGGCGGGCACACCCTGGGAGCTTTCGCAAATGCCTCGTCCGCTAAATCATGATCCAGATAACTACCTGTACGGCGCCCCGCCCACTCGCAAACGGCGTGGGGCGAAGGCGAAGGACTCGACTCTCGACACCATCAGCGAACGGCCTCAGCAGAAATCTGTTGCGCAGAGGATGGACGCTGCCACCAGTACCACGGACCTTTCTCGCATCCAACGCGATGGGGATAGCAACGAAGTTGATCATGATACTTCTCCGCGGAAAGTTCAGAAGGGACAGATCAATGCCCTGGCGAAGATGTTGTCGGCTCTGAGACGTTGAGCATTGTCCGAAGCTGGGCTCATGGATATACCCGGTTGCTCGTGGTAGGCTCGCATGCACGATGCCTGGATGATCAGACCAAACGCAAGCAGTAAGGTGCCCCGCGTTGTACTGTAGGAAGCACGGAAGTCGGTTTGTAGGCTATTGGAAAACCCCATCACACCTCGGTATTCTCAACCACAACTCATGTATCGCTCCTTGACGTAATTCGCAATTTCACCTTCCTGCCGCACATGCAATTGACATCCGTGGACAATAGTTACTGAGCTTAGATGACACCCATATCGTAGCGTATCTCACATCCAGCGATGTTCAGTCTGTACGAAGTCTTGTCGTCGTAAATACATTTGCTGGCGATAGTCCAATATAGCGGCCCTGTTGGTCCCGAAAATTTGTACCCTTGTACCGAACAACTACAGAGCAGGTAATTGATGAAAGAAACCGCTAGCGATACAGTTATGATCCGGCACTTGTCAGCCTCCTCGAAACGACTGCTGAAAGTCCGCAAATGCCATGTTCTGTTCCAACGTAGGAGGGCGCGGTGATTCAGGGGATAACGTCGCCGTATCGATAAGAATAGTGGACGCCTCCCGGTTGCGGCTGACCACTGTAATCGTTGGAGATGTCGGGCGCGATGTACCGCCATCCCCATCCATATCGCTGTCCGAAGAGATGCTGCTGGAAGATTCGGGCCCGCCAATAAAAAATTGGCCAAGGCTGTGAGTTCGAACCAAGTTGACATAGTAATCTTGCAGAATCTCGCGCGTGCACTGAGCAAACGTACGGCCCAAGGACGACGAAGGAAATATTCAGTTCCGATGTGACACAGGGGCAGGCGCGGAGGATATATGAGGGAAATGAGATGCTAACCGTTAGCTGCCACTCGATCATACGAAGAAACTCCCTCTCGAGCATGTTCAGCTCCGTGACGGGTATACCACCGACTTTGGCATAGAGGGTATTTGTAGAGAAGGCATCGCACAGCGCCTTGCTCGATACTGTAATGGATGTGATCACAAAGCGATGGCAGGTCAGCGAGGAGAGTGTGAATAACGGCATCCGGGCGCATATCTGATCGATGTAGTGCAGCGTAATGAGAAGACAGGATCGCTAGAGGTGACACGTTAATAGATGGGTGTGTTATATCATGCTACAGCGTACTTCAGCCTTTGTGAACCTGACAATTCGTCGGAGATAATCTAAGACCGAGATGCCTGGAGCAGAACGAGAGTGGAAACGGGTGAGACTCTCGCTGTGGAGCCTAAGATCGGTGACACATCGTGATGGACTTGAGGGCGTACGACGCACGGAGAGAGTGGTATCTGGTCATTATGAGCTATTAGGCGCTGCATCATATCGGCTGTATATGAAGAACTTCTTCAGCACGGAAAGAAAAGCCGAACGAGAAGATGAACGCACCTATGAGCTGAACGAGAATATCTACGTCGACATCTTCAAAAGCGACTGGCAGTTCAATCCTCGAAGATATCTCCTCCATACACCCATCGCCGTAGATGCTGCTCTCCTGTCAGAGCGAGTGTGGACAAGACGACTGGCAATGTCGCAAGGCGAAACCAAGGCGAAACTTGGTGACTCTGCGAAATGTGTGTGATGGGTAGGAGTCTGGATCCATGCCGGCATGCGCCGTATCTGTACAGCTCTTGGGTCGCCGCTCAAACCTAGATCGCGCGTATCCACGAGATATCACCAGCTATTGCCGTCGACAATATCAAGTCCTCCCTCACGCCCCTTCTCCTCTTGTCATCGTCATGGCCCCGAAATTAGTGAGCTCGTGTATCTATCTATCGTATCCGGAGTCTGACATGGCGTAGGATCCTAACGAAATCAAAATCATCTACCTGCGGGCGACGGGAGGTGAAGTTGGAGCTTCGTCTGCTCTTGCCCCGAAGATTGGTCCTCTCGGTCTCGTATGTGTTCTCGTCAACCGCGCGCATTATTTTGTCTGACAGCACGCTTGTAATAGTCTCCGAAGAAGGTCGGTGAAGATATCGCAAAGGCGACTGGCGCATGGAAGGGCCTCCGGGTGACTGTGCAGCTTACCATTCAAAATCGTCAAGCTAAGGTTGACGTCGTCCCATCCGCCTCTTCTCTTGTCATCAAGGCTCTCAAGGGTATGTGTGCTATCTGTTGTTGTTTCTATGCTTGTACTCACTTTTGTTAAAGAGCCCCCACGGGACCGGAAAAAGGAGAAGAACATCAAACACTCTGGTAACATCACTCTCGACGAAGTTGTCGAAATTGCGCGGACGATGAGGTCGAAATCCTTGGCGAAGACCCTTGCGAATGGCGCGAAGGAGATTTTGGGTACCGCACAGTCAGTTGGCTGTACCGTCGATGGCCGGCCGCCACACGACATCATTGAGGGGATAGATTCAGGAGAGATCGAAATTCCTGATGAGTAGTTCTGTATCATTGCACGCATATATACACTATTTGTCATGCCCATATCCAACTGTTTGCACGAGCGAGATTTGCATGATCTCGGTGATCAGTCGAAGGGATGGCTAACTGTCTGACCCTGACTCCCACCCAATCTTGCGAATTCGAGAATGGCTGAGTCGAAAACTTGCTTGAATAATGTGGAGAGTACGCGAAACAAGAACCATTTCACTCCAAATTGATTGGTGCCATAGAGGCTCGTTCTATATCAAAGTTCGCGCTGGCGTAAATACCTCACAAACATATAAGATCAAATCCTGCTAGTCAGTGGCTTTTCGCTTACTCGTCGAATGTCTGTGTAAATGAGTTGCAAACCCAAGGCACTCAGCACAGTAGTTAACACAGTCCAACACAGTCCAACCTGCCAAACCTGGTAGCGCCCAAATCCGTGGCGCTGAACGTTAACGTTGAACGCTCGGTGCTGCACCAGTGCTCATCAGCCCAGCATCCATATCGCATTATGTCTGGAAAAGGAGGTGCCTATAATACTCGAGCTTCTGATACAGACTTCCGCAAGAAATGGGACAAAGATGAATATACAGAGAAGGCTCGGCAGCGGGACCAGGAGGAGAAGGAGCGAATGAAGGAGAACGAAGAGCGTATGAAGCAAGGTGCGTACTGCCTCTCTGCATCCAAGCTTCTACTATGATACTTACGACAATGCTCCACGCAGGCAAGAAGCCTCGTCGAGGTCACAAGGAGGACCTTCCCAAACCTACCGAGCTTATGAAACGTCGCGAGGGCTCACTTGATCTAGACAAGAACCTGAATAAGACGATGGTTGTACAGAATGCTGGCACTCGTGGTCCTGGCGTGCCCGGATTCTACTGTGAAACGTGTAACCGAACCTACAAGGATAGTATAGGGTACTTGGATCATCTCAACGGTCGTGCACGTATGTTTTCATCTCGTACGTTGGAGTGTCACAACCTGCTCACAGCGCAGTGTAGATCTGCGTGCATTGGGCCAGACTACACGCATTGAACGATCCACAGTAGAGCAGGTCCGTGCGCGTATAGCTTACCTCAGGGAGAAGACCCGCGAGGCATCTTCAGCAAAATCCTTTGACTTTGAGCAACGACTAGCTGAAGTGCGTGAGCGCGAGGCTACCCTCCGAGCGGAGAAAAAAGCGGCCAAGAAGGCTGTGCGGGAACAAGCTCGTGTAGAGCTTGCAAAGGATACCGCTGCAGGGCAGAACGAGGCAGAAAATGACATGATGACTATGATGGGTTTTAGTGGTTTCGGGACCTCGAAGAAATGACGATCTCGACACGAATGAACATGAAAGCGACATGTATTCTAGATGCACACCAACGTAATACAGTTTCCTTTTTCTTCTTGATCTTGAACCGATACTCATACCTTGCTCTATGGCCAAGCTAGCGACAGCACAAACTTCACATCCGCCACCTCTTGCTCCTCCTCGATGAGCACTTTATGCGACGATTTCCGCTGCTCCACATTCACAGGAATGCTTCTAACTGTCTTCTTGATAGCCTCTGCATACTCCTGCATTGCCTGGAGCAACTCAACTCCCAGGCCTTCTTCAAATGCATAGAAGACGTCGACGTCGTCCGTCGCCTGAAGGCCCGCTCGCTTCCGCAGTTTTTGGATACGGTTAATGAGCTCTCGCGCTAGCCACTCGCTCTGCAGCTCTGCATGTGCTTGGACGTCCAGGCGAACCACAACGTCGTTATCTGTATTCGTAGCATATTGAACCTGTCCTTCCACAGGTTCTGGAGCGTTAATATAACGCTGCACGGTCAAGTCTCCTGCGATGAGCTCGATGCCATCGACAGTCAACTTGCCGGTCTGGACATAACAGCGCACATCCTCGCTAGAAACGTCTGGCAGGGCCTTCTTGACACGCGCCAAGTCTTTGCGCAATTTCTTCCCGAGTACGGCCCAGTCAGCGACGGCACGATAGCGGACACCAGCAACATGCTCATCCGATGTGAAGATGATATCTCGGATGTTCAGCTCGGACTGGATGTACCGCTGGAGTCCTCGTGCATCGTCGAGCCACTCGTCTTCTGCATGGAACACGAGCAGCTCGCGTAATGGGGTCTAGCAAGGAGTCTGAGGATTCGATAGCACTAAGACTGTGTTGCGACATACCTTTAGCGACAGGTTGTGTCGTTCACGAATATTTCGCGTGAGTTCGATGACTGTCTGCATGCGTTTCACTTGGCGCTCAATGACCTCGTCAAAATATTCCTCTTTCACTTCGGGGAATGCGAGGAAATGGACCGATCTGGTGTCACTACCATCCGAGGTCTCGGGGATGAATGGGCGGAGTGCTTGATAGATATTCTCCGTAAGGAATGGTGTGTACGATGACTGTAGAGCGGCCGTCGGTCAGAACGCTGCCGCTTCCTGAATATAATTCTACTCACCATCGTTCTACAGAGTGTGAATAGTGTCTCGAAGAGAGTATTAAGCGCCGCGACGGTATCTTCGTCTCCATCTTCACCCTTAAGTCGTCTTCGGTTGAAGCGAATGTACCAATTGGTAAGTTCGTCTACCAGATCCAGCAATCTAGGGATGATGGTGTAGAGCCGATATGCTGCCATTTCTTCACTCACGAGACGGATGAGGGACTGGCAACGGGCCAGGATCCAGCGGTCCATAACGTTCTGCGATACAGCGGCATGCGCGTGATACACGAAATCGCGACCCGTGTTCTTCTTCAATAAGGCGGCTTGTCCGAGGAAGAATCGCAACGCATTTAACCAGGGCAGTAGTACTCGTGATACTACCTCCCGTACACCATCCTCTCGGAAACGGAGATTATCACCACGGACGATGGGAGAGTTGACCAGGAACATTCTAAGATGAATCATGATCAGCGTAATGGAAATCGAATGATTACAGACGAACATACCTTGTTGCATCCGCACCGTATAAATCAACAATGAGGTTTGGGTCTGGGTAGTTTTTGAGACTTTTGCTCATCTTCTTGCCGTCCCTACATTAGCGGAGATGTCATCGAAAAGTATCTTTGATTGTGATCGGGGACACTAACGCTGCAAGAACCAGCCCATAGGAAATGAGGTTTTTCCATGGTGCAACACCGAATAAATGCGTCGAGAGCACTAGCAGCGTGTAGAACCATCCACGGGTCTGGTCAACACCCTCAGACACGAAGTCAGCTGGGAAGAGATCGCCGAATTTGTCTTGGTTCTCGAACGGATAGTGGATCTGTGCGTATGGCATGCTATGAAATCACGTAAGAAATGAGAATAGTAGTACAACAAATAAAAAGAGTCACATACCTGCCAGACTCGAACCAGCAGTCGAAGACCTCCTCGACGCGCTTCAGCTGCCCCTTGCCTTGTGTCGAAGGGATGGTGATGTGGTCAATTTTGTCGCGATGCAAGTCGGTGATGCCTGTGACCCCGGATAACCTCTCCAGCTCCTCGACTGAACCGATGCATACAATCTACGCATGTCTCGAATTAGAAAGTAACTCGGAAGGATATTCTGAACAAGAATGCATACCTCTTCCATGTCCTCACTAGCCCAGAGCGGGATAGGCGTACCCCAATACCGATTTCGTGAGACGTTCCAGTCGCGCGCGTTGGCGATCCAATTGGCGAACCTACCATCCCCAAGGTTCTGTGGGACCCTGTGTAAAAATGGATGAGTTGCGCGACTGCTAACGGTGGAAGAAAATACCATCGCGTCTGTTTGTTGTTTGCTACAAGTTGATCGACAATAGGTGTCACTCGGACGAACCATACAGGAATAGCGCGGTATAGTAAAGGCGTCCCCGATCTGCAGAGATGTCGCCGTTAGGCTATGCCCTTCTGGACATCATTCTAATGAGACTCACCGCCAGCAAAATGGATATGAATGCTGGATGGTTGATTGAACGATCAGGCGACCTTTCGCCTTCAATACCTTTTGGATGTCTTTATCCGCAACCTAGGACCCCAAATGTACCGTGAGCAAGCTGCGAGGAATAATTTTATTTATTATAGGTACCTTAACATGCTGCCCAACGAAATCTGGAACCTCCTTCGTGAACAGTCCAGAGTCATCGATGGGACAGGGAGGCATCTCCTCCGGACTTAAGATCCCATTGGCGATGGCAATGCGAAGATCGTCTTCACCAAAAGCAGGTGCCTGGTGGACGATACCCGTACCGTCACCGTCAGTCACGTAGGTGTCGTTAAGGACACGGAATGCTCTATCTTCAAACTGGCATTCAATCAGATACTATTGCATGTAAAATAACAGACGGACAAACCTGCTCAGTGAAGTATTCAAAAAGTGGTACATATCGCCAGTCCTTCATATCGACGCCCTTGAATGTACCAAGTTTCTTGTATTTGGCTTTCTTTGGATCCTTGTACAACGTGCGGAGCAGACCTTCATGAAGGATAAAGTTCTGGTCGCGCTCCTGATCGTGAATCTTGATATAGGTGTAATCGGGATGTACACACAAAGCAAGGTTTGACGGTAAGGTCCACGGCGTGGTTGTCCATGCGAGAAGCGACGTCGTACGATCATCTACGAGAGGGAATGCAACGGTGACTAAAGGAGCAAAGCAAAGTCAGCTATTCATACAGGAAAGACTAATATGAGGACAAACCAGCAGGATCGCTGACGTCCTTGTAATTCTGGCTAGCCTCGAAGTTGGATAGTGGAGTTAAGCAACCGGTAGAATAGGGCATAACTCTCAATCCACGATAGACCATACCCTTTTTGTATAGTTCACTAAATGCCCACCAAACGCTCTCCATGAAGGTAGTGTTAAGTGTCTTGTAATCGTTGTCGAAATCGATCCAGCGACCCATGCGCTCAACCGTGCGACGCCATTCAGACGCATAACGCATAACGATCGCGCGGCACTCCTCATTGTATTTTGCTATTCCCATCTTCATGACATCTTCCCGCCCGGTAATGCCGAGTTTTTTGTCAATCTCATGCTCAACGGGCAGTCCGTGCGTGTCCCAGCCGAAGCGTCGTGTGACATGGAATCCGCACGCATGGGCATGCCGGGTGACAATATCCTGAATGCAACAGGTGTATCTCTCAGCAAAAAGGGTGTTTATGAACATGCAAGACACGCACTTTAATAGTTCCAGCGAGTAAATGGCCATAGTGCGGCAATCCAGTCGCGAATGGAGGGCCATCGAAAAATGAATACTCAGGTTTCCCTTCCGAGAGTTTTAGACTTGTCTGGAAAGCATCGATTTCCCTCCAGTATGCAATGACCTTTTCCTCTTCTTTCGCGAAGTTGAATGGGGCAGATACTAATCAAAAACAAGACAACATCAGATCGGACGTACAGGATAAACCATCAGCTTACAATCATGAGGAGGGAACGACATGGTTCAGCGCAAGATGGGAGTAGATGCGCGGCCGTGGTGGATATAAAGCTTGAAGGACGAAGATGTTGCACACCAAGTCACTTAGACGACGGATGTGACTCGAGACCGATCGTGAAAGTAAGTATGGCGTCTGTGTATTCGAGACGCTCACGGCCACAGATTCGGGCTTGGCCGAGGAATGCGATAAGATTAGATTGCGATAGGCTATCACGGAAATCGGTGCTCATGGAAAGTAAGTAGCGGGGAAAACGCTGCGCGTGTCACAGGCGCTGTCAAGAGGGCCGAGCATCTTCCTGCTGGAAAGTGCTAGGCCGTGTGCTTATTCGGTGTTACGATTTTAAAAAGCGCTCAAGGCGTTTCGAGTGGGATTCTACGGAGAGCCGTCCACTACATCGCGGAGAACGTGTATTCGACATTTGATTTTCGGCAGTACGGAAGGTTTATCTTGGTTTGATTTGGTTCGCGATACTTGTTCTCCTGACACATAATGGCACATGGGGAATACACCGAGCAAACTAGATTGACTTCAAGCAAGTATCGACCCGGGCTGAGCTCGGGTTAAGCCGTCAAAGATAGAACGTAGGGCACCTCGAGCGCCGAGATGGTGATCGGGTGGCCGCCGATGAGCACTCGGGCGCTCGCCCTTCCGTGCGATGAGCTATACAAAGTCCTGGAAGCCATGATACGATCCCCCGGTGTCGTCCTCGTCCCCCCATGTCCTCTTTCTCCTCGCAGACAGTCCTCGAGGACTCAGAAAAGTCCCCATGCGAGAAGAAGGCCGATACACAGGCCCCGCTGCCCCCGTGCGACGCCGAAGCACCACCTTCCACGAAGGTAGCGGCCGCAGATACACCTGGTGACAAGTACCTGGTGATCCTGGATCCCGATGAAGATCCAAAGAACTGGTCCGCATACAGGAGGTGGCTCATCTTGCTTGTTATCACGTCTGCGGCACACTGTGCCACTTGGGCTTCTTCGGCAGTACGTCTCATAGTTGGCCGCGCAATTGACTCGTCTTCTGTATTCAATCAAAAAATATAGGCAGCGTTCACAGAAGCGGGACTCGTGACGGACTTACATACCGTACAGGAAGTCACTATCCTCAGTATTAGTCTCTACGTCGAAGGCTTAGGTTCGCCTACCTCCAACGACTCTCACAGTCATCCTTCTAATGCAAAACAGCTTTGGGACCTCTGCTCATTGGACCTCTATCGGAGGTCTACGGAAGAAATAACATCTATCGCGTGTCCTACATTCTATTCTTCGCGTTCACATGGCCAACAACTTTCCCTCCCGACATGGGTTTGTTTATTTTGCTTGGCTGTCTCACGGACTATAAATGACCAAAATCATTATGACCCAGCTACTTTTCTCGTATTCCGTTTCATCACAGGCTTCTGCAGCTCTGCGTTCCTGAGTGTTGCCGGCGGCAGCGTTGGAGATCTTTTTGCTGGTTCGGCGGTCGCAAGGTTCGTGCACATCTTCTTGGATAGTACACATTACTTATTATATCTCTAGTGCCATGGCAGTCTATACTCTGGGCCCTTTCCTTGGGCCTGTAGTAGGGCCTCTTATATCTGGGTGAGTTCTATCGCATATCTAAGAGGAAAAGATCTGATTGCCATCTATTAGTTTCATCTGTCAAGTACGCTATTTCGTTGATTACACTGGTGATCTCTCAACGCTGACTAAGTGGCTAGAACGTAGATTGGCGTTGGACGTATCGTGTTCTTCTTATATGGCAGTTTGCAACCATCCTAATGTTATACTTGGTAAGACCAAAGCTACTATGTTGTCGAATGTTCTGCTTATATGCATAACAAAAGTTCGTCCCGGAAACTTACGAGCCAGTTATCCTCAAGCGAAAAGCTGCACGGTATGTCTCATATTTAGGTAGCTATCTGTGACGTCAACTCACTATGTTTCGTAAGATTACGCAAGGAAACGGGCGACAACCAATACTGGGCACCTCTTGATCGCAGGGAAGGAACATTGACCCAAGCAATTTTGCTGAGCTGTTATACGCCGTTCCGTGGGGATTTTCCTATCCTACCCAATTTGACTTCACTGATTGTGCTCATAGAGCTACTGCTCTTCGATCGCATGGCATTGCTCCTAGATACGTGGTAAGTACAAGTACTTAAATATAGGCGTCGACACCTATATTGACTGGTCGTAGGAGCGCATTGGTTCTTGGCATTCTGTATCTTGCATTCCAAGCATTCCCTGTGATATTTCAAGGAGGCCATGGATTCAACGTCCAGGACACGGGCATGTCCTTCTTGGGCATTGGTATTGGGATGCTTATGGCGGCAGCAACACAACCTCTGTGGAATCGGTAGGCGGCACCATCTCTTCTTGCTATTAGACCCCCTCACGCTCCATTGGTTAGCCTGAATGAACACCAAGCAGCGAAATATAGTGGTAAACCTCCTCCCGAGGCGCGGCTCGTAATGGGTCAATTGGGCGGCGTGCTTGTGCCAATTGGTCTATTTTGGCTTGCGTTCACGACGTATAGGCAAGTTCCATGGATCGTGCCCATCATCGCCTCTGTGCCGTTCGGCGCAGGTGCATTCTATGTGTTCACGTCAACATTCACGTACCTTGTCATGGCGTATCGCCCAATTGCCGCGTCTGCGATGGCCAGCAATACGGCATGGCGATGTACGTTCGCAGCTGTGTTCCCATTGTTCGCTGGACAGATGTACAATCGCTTGGGTACGGTGGGCGCAACTGCACTTCTGGCGGGCTTGACAACGCTGATGATGCCACTACCGTGAGTCTCGTCTGGTAAATATTTCCTTCAAATGAAAATATTAATCCTTCCCTATTTTCCAGCTTCGTCATTTACAAGATGGGTGCGCGGCTCCGAGAGAAATCGCAGTTTGCCGTCTCGTCATGACTATAATTGTTCGGAACTTCTTTCTCCCACTTAATCTCCCGTACACCATCATGATACCTCGTAATGCTTCCTCCATAGGTCACGTCGTAGATACATGTGGTAGTTCTCTGCAATTAGACCATCCAAGCTGTATTCATCAAGACGAATTCGGTCAATCTCTCGTAGACACCCTAGGAGCATTTACATTACTGTCATACCTAATGCCAGCTGATACTTTCTTCTTGATATATGCATGGCATAGTTTCCACTCTATCAGTGGCGTGGATACGATCTGTATTCAAGCTGGTGCATGCAGCTTCAGCCTCCCGGTCAAGTTGGGCTCGGAACAGGTCCGATCGCACGCACCGCAGCGATAAGATAAAAATCTATCACGTGTTTGACTGCCCCGATCTCCATTCGACGTACTAAGTCCGCCGCGTCCTGCTCTGCTCGAGAAGGTTTATGTCTCGCATCCAAAGAGGTATGCTGCCAATGGTTGACTTGATGCAAATTGACAGATCCGGCTGATAAATTTATGGACCAATTTGTTTCAATTGTCCCACCTGACCGATCACACATATACAGGTACATCAAGTCTCTGAAGGAGCTCGAGCCCAGGAGCTACTAAGACTTTCTTTCGGTTCACTTAGAGTCCTTGGTTTATTTGGACATAACTCTATATGGCATCGTACACGTATCTCGATGCGCCCAATCCAAATCTCGTGAGGAGTCATTCCTTTGTCGGGTATTGTTCTGTCCTCACCGCATCTCACGCCCCAGGTCTGCTGCATATGCAGGTGAAGGACCCCTTAATTCAAGCCTACATCATGTACTCAACCCCATTTGTAGATCTCCTTTTGTAAATCCGTGCACTACACGAACTTGCTGCCACACGTTCTGTTATGAGTGCATCGCAAGGGCGATCTCGGTCTCCCGTCAGTGCCCTATAGATCGCTGTCAGTTGACTATGCATGACATAGGCCCTGCGGATCCTGTCATTCGAAATGTAGGCTTCCGCTATAGGCACAAAGTGACATTCGCTTACGAACGTCTGTTTTGCAGCTTGTCGATGAGATGGTCGTCGAGTGTCCCCAGCGCGCGCTGGGATGTGCATATTCATGCCAGAGATTACTCCTCTCGACTCACGTCGACGAGTCTTGCGCTTATGGGAATGTGACGTGCCATGAATGTGGTACGGTACTCATCCGGAAGGATCTTGCTGGGCACACGCATGTCGATACCAGCTACTCGGGGGAGGATGTTGACACAGAGCGGAAACCTATCTCCCATGAGGTCTGTCCTATTTGCTGTCGGGGCTTTGGCACGTGGACTGATCCCGTCTTAGTCGAGCGCTTCTAACGAGGAGAATGCATCACTTGCAGCTGACTCCCAACATGATATACCACATCTTCGCGAGGACGTCTTAGTCGCGGAGAACGCCTTACTCCGGCACCGCATCTCAGCGTTGGAAGGTATGGTGCACATATTGCAACAGGAAATGTGCATTGTGCAACGTGCTCTTGGTCCGTGGTACAGGTCGGAGATCACTGATGGTTCATGGGAGCAGGATGTTCGTCCAGGAGTTCAAGATGAGTATGGAACGTCTCAAATCGAGGCACAAAACCAGACGAATGGAGGGACCTCACAGGCCGTGAGGATCAATAGGTCTACTTCCGCCACCCTTTCATCTCAATCCCCAGACGTATCGCGTATCGCGCCGCAGGGGCATCCGCTCGAAATTGATTTGGCGTCTTATTTCCCTTCCGAAGAGGAGGCGGACAATGAATATAGCTCCCACATGCATCGAGAGCCACAGGCACATCCCATTAGTGCACCATCTTCCTCCAGCAACGGCATGCGATCTCAAGAGGCATTGTCGCAGGCACAATCGGCGACGACCAGAGCCCATGCGATACGGTCATATTCGGGATCGTACCCTCAGACATCAGCATTTGGTCCTACCGCACACTCTTCCAACACACCTGCTTTCACGTCTTCACTTTCGTATCCAGGTTCGGCAGCGTCCCTCGTGCCAGCATCCATCTCGGTTCCCCCATTAGATCCAACGACGCCGCTTCCCGGAACACTTGCCTCATTGCACTCATCATTGGTCTCGTTGGCTGGAGCACTCAGCGCTTTAGCAACCACGCGTGCACAGGAGGCTCTGTACACCGGCGAGGAGTTGAGAAGTCTGAGGGGCGGTATGCACGGGCTACGCATGCAGGTGAGTTCATGGTCCCAATTTGGTATTATAAACCGCCCCATAGACACTGGTCTACAGCTTCACGATGTTATGACAACGCGCATGCCATCCAGAGAGTCTGCCGCTACTCCTATCAACGGTGGTGGTGGCGGCCCGGGCGCTGGTGCAGGTGAGGGCGTTGGCATAGGTGTTGGGCTGCCCCCGTGGATGGTATACGGGCCTCGCCTCCCTGGTCCAACTACGTATCCACATATACCAGGTTCAGTCACAGCAACGAAGCTCTAGAGGTCGTGTCATCTCAACTCCTGGAGATATGCACCATTGATGAGCCAACTATCCACTCAGTCATAAGCACTGTATCAGTCACAAGCCATCTGCTGTCTGACAATTTCAGGCATCGACCACGGTTGACGTGCCCTTTTGAATATCACGGTATCTCTCTTACTCTTCACCCTTACCTGAAAGATATTGTATCGTGGAGACCTCCAATAACGTTTTCGGTGATCGAGCACTTCGAAATACCAATATATTCCATAAGAAGACCATAGCTCATACGATTGATGTCCGTGACCCTGCTAAACGATCTGCCACCTGTGACCGAGTGGACATTTGACTCAACACGCGCATATGTCTATGAAATTCACTAGAAGAAACGACTCACATCCCGTATGTACGGTAGGGACAAGAAATGCCCTATCCCCGGCAATTGTCGCATGAAAGTAAGCACCACCGGGAAGAAGTCCCTGCATACCCCGTCAACGTCAGTAGCCTTGTATCAATACCCGTATCCGTATCTGCACGCACCCGAAGAGATTGAGGAAACCGAATAGCTCCACAACGAAGCCGATGAATGGCCACTTGAGGAACACGAGCAAGATGCCTCCAATGAAGCACGCTGTGCCACGCAGCTTCTGCTTTCGAGCGAAAAAGTAAAACGTCTTGTGGGGCCCGATGATCAGAGTCAGACCGGCTAGGAAGAGGACCTATTAGGTGCAAGTCCCTCGTTAGTTGCTGCGACCGCCACGGTCGGGGCGACCTTTTCGTCAATCTTGAGACTTACGTTTCCCAGCGCTAATAGTGCACCATCGAAGAACAACATCACTCCGAGGAGCATGAACAATGCACCAAAGGACGTGAGCGCAACACCGATCTCTGCGTTCAAAATACGCGCGTTCATTAGTGTAGAAACTTGTACAGCGGGACGGACGACGCACTCTGTCCATCAGAAAGCCACATTTTTGTCGTTCAAGGTGGGAGGTACGCCTCTGGCCTTGTGCAGCTGGGACCAACGTCCTCGTATTATGCGAATGTAGGGAGACGAGAGACACGACCTGCGTTGCGGTACGTGTCACCACTGCGCGCACGGAGAGATCACGTGTCGCATAGATTTAATAGTCGACAATCTAGATTCAGGCATAGCTTAGAGCAATTGTGCTTTTCAGCGAGCAGCTGTAAGGTGGCACCTCCATATTGTCTGCAAAAGCTAGCCCCAGATTGGTTCAGAGCGATACAAATAATTTATAGTATATATGGATACATCAGAGAGCGAAGAAGAGCACGGCAGAGCCTATTTCGTGTATCAGGACTAGTACCGTATGCTCTATGCATCGCGACTATCCGAGATTATACGTTAAGGCTGTAGGTATAGAGCAACATAGCGATATAGCTATCAGCCGCGGACGCAGCCCGCTCGCCGTGCGGCCTACAAGTGATGGTGGGAGACATGAACTACCCTGTGTTCGCACACCCGCGCCAGCACATATAATGGAAATAAAGACGCACGTCATCCAGCTAGTGTCTTGTCCCAACGCTCTATGCACCGTCCGACGTAGCAGGTGGTATCATTCCTAGCCAATCAACGCCTCTCCCTAATCTCCAATACAACACTCCCTTCGGCGGGAAAGGTCGTCTAACAATAGGCGATGCCTTCCGCGCGCCCTCCATTCTAGGTGGAGGGTAAGAAGGGCAACCATGAATATGTTGCGATTTAATGATCGCCAGAAGCCCCAAGGGAATAAAAATGAGGATAAATCGAGAGAATGCCTGCAATGGAACCGAAATCGTTGACCGGAGATGTCGTTTGAGGCTGGCGCGACACGGGTGCCTGCACCGTCAACGGACCCTGGCATGTCGCGCTATCCGTTAGCCTATTGCCGGCAATATGCGTATACAAGCCTCTGGAGGGATGCGTATGAGGGCCAAACTTGGACACCAGGGAATGGCTGCCCACAATTACGATAAGGGAGCTGGGTGCGATGTGCCGTTTTGTAACAGCTTCTGTTGTCGCTCTTCCGCTACCTTTTGCTCGCGGTAATGTTTGGCCGCTGCGACCCATTTTGGCATGTCTACATGCCGTCGTCGGTCCTGCTGCATGAATGGATGGTTCTGTAGCGTCGCGATTAGTTGATGACGATCACAGTGAACGATTCACACTGTTGACGAATTCAGGACACTAACCAATAACTCCGCGTAGGAAGCTCTCATCTCGGGTACCTTGTGCAAACATCGTGCAACAAAATCCCGAGATGCATCAGAATACGACTCTGGCAGTTCCGGAGGATCGCCGTGGACAATCGCGGTGAGTTGCGCGAACACATTGGCGTACGTCTCCGGTGGGTATGGATACCGCCCTAAGGCCATCTCAATCATCGAGAGACCCAGTGACCAGACGTCCGAAGACACGGTGTACGTGGCCACGTTGTTCTGCGACTCGCCCTTTATTCGCTCTGGCTGATGATCGAGAGGCAGAATGGACGTGCAGAGAATAAATATATTAGTGAATATGACACACAGATTCAATGACATATACGCACAGCCATGTAGCTCTGACAACCTATATTTGTCTTTGCGAGTGACTTCTCCAGCTGGCCAGAGACACCGAAGTCACAAAGCTTGACCTCACCCTTCTTGTTTACTAGGACGTTGGTCGGTTTGACATCTAGCATACATAAACTTCAGTATTGAGGTCGGTATGAAAACGCGAGAAACCATACCTCGGTGTATGATCTGTAGCTCATCCTTCAAGAACTTCAGGCCACGGACCATGCTTCCTGTGATGCGTCCTAGAACGTCCTCTGGAACACCTGCGCCTTCGAGCTTGTCCAACGAACCAGCGTCCATGTACTCCATACAATAGTATACACATCTTGGCGGCGGGGAGACCAAAATCAGGAAAAGTACACAAAAGTGACACATTTACACTCACGACTCTATGAAAAATGCCCCATAGAAGTCGACAATTTCGGGGGCGACTGCCCGGTGAAGGATGTCAAGCTCCATGATGATCGCATTCAGCTTGGAGTCATCCAATTCCAATCGAATTTCCTACAAATAGAACAGGGGACGTATCAACATGTGTTCTGCAATGTGCTGAACAGATATCAATATCACCTTCATAGCCATAGCAACGTTCGTGGGCTTGTGCAGTACTCTCTTAACAGTGCCGTACGCGCCCTTCCCAAGCTCATCTTCCAATTGCAGTTGGGACATGTTGATCGCGAAAGAAGAGCCATTGCTGAAATTTACCCCCGTCGCGTGCAGTACAGCCTTCCCGCTAAAGTTCAGCGCTCCAGATGGATCACTGCAAGCCATATTCCCCCACAGTGCACCATTTCCGCGATGTCCGAGGAGTAAGCAGCATTCGGGATACACCGGGATGCAGGTGAAGGTGAGGGCGGAAGGTCATGAGCATGCTGCATGGGTATGATTCAGACAATGATGGCATCCACTCACACTATCTTTCCGAAGTTTGAAAACGGCGTGGCAAAGTTGTTTTGTGCACCTCGCCTAGGCTCATCGTCAACAATGGGCCGCCCACCACCAAGACCCGCGCCCTGCGGACCAGCACCCATCGGAGGAAGATGCATGCCTCCCGGCACGTCGTTGGGACTGAGCTTGGGGACGCCTACTTTCAGACGTCGGGCGGCGAGACCACCTATAGGTGCTGCCCCGGGGCGGTTTGGCCCGGGTGAGGACGCGGGTGCACGAAGAGGCGGGAGTGGCACGCCCGGTCTGTCTTGGAGGGTCGCGCGCGCAAAAGCTGCAGCCATGCCATTAGCGGTCTTTGTGCCTGCTGGCGATTGCTGCCCGCGCTGTGCGTTCTGCAGATGGTCAGCGGATTGCGCAAGGAAATATAGGGTGATGAGAGACCAATGAAAAGGTACTCACTGCGGCCATCTTGGCTTGCAAAGAAGGAGGAATCGGGGTAGAGGCCATGGGACGTCGCTGGTTGAGCAGGCCGGCGACGCTGCGGTTGGACTGCATAGGTAGTGGAGGCCGAGGCTGGGTGGAAGGCGGAGGGCGGGGGGCGGGGCCATCATGAGCGGGAACATGGTCGGACATGGTGGTGCCCAGAAGTTAAGGATGAGCGGCGAAGAGGAGGAGGAGAGGAGAGGAAGGAGATGGGCAGAGGCCGGAAGAAAGACGAACGGGACTTATATAAAACGGTCTTAGCGAAACGGGCTCGGACGGCAATTCCAATTCGAAGGGGCTGTATGACATCAGCCACAGAGTTGCCGGGGCGCCGACTCATCCTCTCTGCGCAGTATTCACACTCCGTCACACGCCGACAGCGCACATACAGGCGGAGTCTAAATGGCTGCCACCGCGACCGCCAGCTCGCTGATCGCCCCGCGGTCGGGGGTTGCTCCACAAGACAAAGGCTGAGTGGCTCTCAGCTGCAGTATTACAACGTGCTCGACGCCGTCCTCGCTCTTCCGCACACTCTGCGCACGTCCTTCCTTTCCTCGCCCATCCTGATCTCCCCGCTTATTCTCGGTATCCCTTCCTCTCATCTCACCTCGGGACCACAGCTGACCAACTCGATGATGCAGTTGCTCCCGTCATTCTCATCCTGCTCCGTGTCGCCTTTGTCCAAGCCCGAAAACTCATTGCGTCTCGAAAAGACAGGCATTCTATGAGCTATGTCGTGAAATGGGGGAGAGAGAGGTGCGGCACACTCCTGCTTCTCGTCCCTTGCGAGATACTGATGCCACACATTCCCATTTTCCCTCGCACCTCCTTCACCGGGAATTCAATGGTGTCATCGCTGCGCGTTTTTTCTGTCTCCCGCTCGATGTACCTCCTCTGCGTGCGTCTACGTGACCCCGGACTTTGGACGCACGTGTCGCCTTCTCCATTGCAGGTTGCACTTCACCCTCCCCCCGCCAGACACCAAGCTGGCGGCCATCCGGCATCAGCTCGCTGAATACACACAGCTTCCTCCGCAGTCTTTCAAGCTCATACACGCCGGTGCAGTCATGAAGGACGATAACGCGCCGAGTAAGTCCCGCGAGCCGCGTATTACAGCTTCTGTTCGGACTCTGTGCCTTGACTTGTGGAGCCATCGTCGCGCTTGCCTGTCCTCCGACTTGCCATCACTCTGAGATGCGCTGAATTCGTCACCCTTTGGTTGATTGCGAGCCCGTGGTTTTGCATGAGGCGTGGCGCCACTTGTGCTCCCGCCCACGCATTCAGTCCATCTATCACAACGCCCCCGCCTGCTATCATCGTCCGCGCTTCTCTGCTGCGTACGATCTGACGTCACAGACGGACTGTCCTAGTTTCAGCTTTGCGCCCCTACAGCTTCCGTCATACTCGACGTAGAATGTATTCCTGCTATCTCCACTCTGATCATCTTCTCTGATCTTGATTCTATTTTGTCCGTGTAATTGACTTACTCTCCTTTAGTATCTGCGTACGGTATCAAGCCTGGTTCGACGATCGCTCTTGTTGGGGGCGGAGAGGATCTTGAGCCATCCGGCCGCGCGTCTTCCAAACATAAAGAGAAGCCGCAAGAGCGCACCGAAGCTAGCATCGTTGCGCAGATCCGAGGCGAGCTTGATTCTGTGCGACGCACACTCCAACCCGACGTCGATGGGTTCCTAACTACGCTCAATCCCGATTACGTCCCGCCGTCCGTGTCGTCGGCTGCTCCACCAGCTGCAGCTGGTCGACGCAATCCTGATTTGGCACGGGAGCATATTCGGCTCGGCGAACTGCTCCTGCAGTCTCTCTTGCGGCTTGACGCGATTACCGCGGAGGGTGAGTGGGAGGAAGCCAGGCGCGAGCGGAAAGGCGCTGTTCGGGAAGTGCAAGCGCTCCTCGATCGCTTGGACGGCGGCTGGAGGAAGAGACCACAGACAAAGATCTGAGAGGTGCGAGGCTTATTTCAAGTCGGTGATTTAGGGATGTGATACCTCTACACTACGCGCTACACGGAGAAGAAACGTGTATCTACCCCATAAACGTATCTATAGACGTCTCTCTGACATGTCGCAGTGGGCAAGTGCCTCGGCGATACCAGCAACACGTACAAGACTCTATCTGGGTGCTCAATCTTGCGCGATAATGGTTTGGTTCGACCGTCATTCTACTGGGTCGCCGTTAGTCCCTAAGCTGATCTTGTTTTGATACTAGTCCTCCAGGGTGGCATCCTGTGCATGCTTGTATGCATGCTATGCAAGCCCAGGTATTTTGTCGATCTGACCTTCGGCCGCCTTTCAGAGAAACCTTCGTCCGTGGAGCCCTTTCTTAAAGTCAGAGAAGGTCCTGATGGATCTCATCGGTGCATCCGGAACATGGCCACTGGTCCGGCAAGAACGACCGTACGGATCACACTTGCAAGTCGTAACGACATCCGATCGCGCATTACCCGCGCACTCAGCAGCATCTGCCACACGCGGCCCTGCCTCTTGGGGAAGTCGACACGCCAGACATGTGCATGATTGGGCACATTCAGATCCCTCTTGGCTACACAGATCCCGGGGCTTGGGCTTGACTCCGCGTACGTACGCTTGCTGTAAGTGCTCGCGGTGGAAGCTCTTCATCGTCGGGTCTAATACCACGCAGCACGCCTTCGCTCTGATCCCCCAAGGCCCGCCCGGGGAACGTGGGTGCACGAGCCCCGGACCCCCACACCGTCGGTCCGTCCTCGTCCCCGTCCCCGTCCCCGTCCGTGCCCCAAAAGGTGCGCCCAACAGCCTCCGGCGCGCGCGTCGACTCCCAGGCAGCAGGGACCGCTGCGGCGGGACTTCATCCGAGATTCGAGAAGTGCGCACTGGGTGCCGTGGAGCCCCCCCCCCCGGCTGTGCGGTGCGTGCCTTCCCTGCATCTAGCTTGGCGCGCGCCCCGCGATGGCTGCCCCTCCCCCCAGTTCCCCGCTGCCAGCATGCTTCCCTTCGCGAACCCAACCCCGACCGCAGCCGACGCGCACATGTGCCGTGCTTATCACGGAGGCGCGAGGCGCCCGCAGGCGATCGGGGGGAAGGGGGAGCGTCCACGCCCGCCGGCTGCGCTATCATCATGATCACCATCAGCCGCTCATCATGCGGTGTGTTCTGATATCGTGCGTATCGCGCGCCGCCGCGCATGGGCTGCGGGAGAGCGCCCCCCACCGGGCCTGGGAGGCCCGCGCCCGCGCACGCACCCGCACCGTCCTTATGTACTGGCTGCGCCGCCGGAGAGGAGGGCGCCGCCGAGCAAGCGTCCTTCGACAGGACTCGCTTTCAGAGTCCAAACCCATCCAAGCGCGCGTGCCGTGCCCGTGGGTGGGCACCCTGCCTGAGGCACCGGAGCTCGCTCGATGCGTACTTGCAGATGTTACTTGCGTGTGCGGCGCACACGAAGCTCGTTCAGTGCGTACTTGCAGATGCTGCTTGCGCGGGGCCCGAGGCTCTCTGGTCATGCTCACGGTCTGACGACGACGCCCCACGACCCACGGGCCTGCGCTGCGCGACCCTGGCGGCGGGCGCCCCCCCC